TTTTGAGGTTTAATCTCCCTCACAGCCCTAAGTGATGACAGTGATGGCCCACTTTCATGGTCAAGAACTCAGAGCCCATGGAGACCAGGCAGCCAAGCTGCAGCCACAAAAGCTGGCTGGCAGACACAGTCTGACCTTCCAGGGACACCCCCTGCTCCTGTCACCACTTCCTTCCTCCTGGTTGTGCCTTTTTAATCTTAGCAAGAATGAGAGGTCTTTGAGGGCACCTGTTCCTGCCCAGCTCCTAGCCTGAGGCCCCATGGAGACCACAAAGAGAGCAGGACAAGCATCCAACCTACAGAGGAAGCAGAAGACCAAGCAAACCACGAGGGCTGGGCTGGCCTCTCCTGCCAGCCCACTATAAGCTGGTTTCCGGTGGCTTCTGAGGCTCAGCTCAACCACCAAGGTCGCTCTTCAGGCCTTGAGCAGACCGTGCAGCCAGCCCCAGCCCTGCCTCTTAACCTCCCCATCCTGGGAGACCACCATCCTTCTTCCACACCTGGCCTGAGTTCTCCCAACACCGTTAGACATTTCCTAGGCTGGAAGGCCTGGTAGGGACTTAAGGGAGGTACTGCATCTCATGTAGCAGGTATCTTCCCAAGCAATGCTGAGTACAAAGCAGGAGGACAGAGAGGGACTGTGGGTGACTGAAGTGACACACAGTGGCAGCTCAGTGGGGTGGGCAGAGCAACAAGAGGGGACAGCAAACCCCAGTCTCCCCGATGACCCAGAAGCAAGGCAGACAGACAGGCAGGCACCCCCAGAGCAGCTAATTGGGAGACAGCTGCAGAAAGGGAGACCCTGTTCCCATTCATTATGACTAAGGACCATCCAGGAGGGTCAGGCCTGGCCTTGGACACATTAAGTGTTCTGAGCCTTAGGGACATGGAGCTAATATGCTGCTGTGTGTGATAAAGTTCAGTATGAGGTCCCAGTCAGAGGCCCAAACTTGGGACAAACATGCAGGCAGCATTTCAGGCCACTGATATGCTCTGTGTCAGGACTGAGTCTGACTGTGGCCAAGATGTCCCTCTCAGAGCTTTCCCCTCCCCGCCCCTGCTCTCCATGCCCCCCAAGCAAACAGCTCTGTCCCACCTCCTAGCCTTTGCATCTGTTGCCCCTCCCCTCTTCCTGTCACATGCCCTCTCCTTCTGACTCAGCCCCACGGTGGTCTTCACACCTCTATCCCAAGGCCTTGCTCCTCTTTCTCCCCACTATAGCCCCAAGAAAACTGTCTTGGTCACACTACTCACAATACAGGATGGATTTGCTTATATTCTAGAACCTTCCAGGGATGTCCCGAATACCTGCTGTATGTGAGCACTAACATGAGGGGAAGAGACGCACTCAGCACAGCACACGTGGGTGAGGGTGACGAATCACAGCTTTTTGCTAAGAACCTGGGTGCTGCCTGTAACATGGGGACTCCCCAACACTTTCCCACCTCAGTCCTTGGCTGTCCCCTTTCCTCTGACCATGAATGCTCCTCTATGAAATGGGAGACTGCTCTCTGCCCTTCTTAGGTATGTGGCTGTGGCTTTCCTTTTCAAATAAATGTGTGATATCCTAGCTGTCCTTCTGGGACTGAGGAGGGAGACTCATGGTCGCCCAGGGGTTATTAATGTCACCAATTGCACCCCCAGGGTCTACCCTGCTGAGATACCCCCATGAGAATCAAGAATCAAGACAGGCTAGAGGCAGAGGGACAGAGTTCCAGGCAGAGCAATGGACCTGCAGGTAGTGCAGGCCTCAATTCCCCAGCCCAGCTGCGTGGTTGCATCCTCAGTCTCCGTTTCCTCTGTTCAGTGCAGCTGAAGGCGGGGACCAAGGACCTCTGACTTATGAAGACCTGAGACCCCACAGGCAAGCCTGAACCCTAGCCTTAAGCCCTCTGCCCCTGCTACGCCCTCCCCCCCCAATCTGGGGCTCCCATCTATGTGCACAGCTCTACCCCAAGTTCCCAGGGGACAAAGCAAAGACAACAGACTGCTTATGGTTAATGGAACCAGGGAGACCCAAGGTCAGGGGCGCCTCACCGACACCCTGTCTGTCTGAGAGAACGTGGCCACTCGGGTGGCATTCAACTGAGAACAGTCCCATGCCTTTCCGGTGTCTGCCTTGGGTGGCCCTTATCACAGGGACCACCTCCACACTGGACAGCCTAACAGATCTAAAAATATCTCTGTGGCGTGGCTCCATCTGATCTGCCATGAGGGCCTGCTTTTCAAAGTTTGAAGCACTCAAGAGAGTCTATTTCTGGGAGTCATAAGCCTGCCACAGAGCCCATTTCTGTCTTTATCTAAAATGGTACCTTCCAACAGGCTCACATGCAGAGGTCTGATAGGAAAGTTTCACGGGACAGAAAAAGCCAGTTGCACATTCAATAAATGCACTATAGGGACCCTGCTGGCCTATTTGTTTCTTTTTGGAGATGAGTTTTTGATATATACCCCAGGCTGGCTCAAACTCATGATGCTCCAGCCTTAGCTTCCTAACCGTAGAAGTTCCGTCCCAGTTTTTCAAGTTTCCATATGCATCTCAGATGGCATTTGTCAGGCTCTGTGTCACGTGCAGGTGCCATGGTCACCTTTTAAGAGGTTCTTTGCACCCAAGGTATTCAAAGCTTTCTATGGTTTCCTCTGAGAGGCAGCCAAGGGGGCTGCACCCCACACCCATCACAGCTGGACTGGGTGCTGGGGCCTCCTCTTGTGGTAGACTGTCCCCACACCCTGGCTGGATTTCATGCTGAGGTCTCAAAACTCAAAAAATGACCCTTTGCATGAAATAGCTTCTCATATGGTAGATCTGGGGCTGAGTGTGCAGGAAACAGGCAGACAAGGCCAGGTGTGGAAGGGCAGGGTCACTGGCTCCCACCTCCACAACCTGGTCCTGCAGGTAATGAGTGGGGAAGGAGGAAGGAGTCTGGGGGCATCAGCACACCTCTGTGCATGTTGACTGCTTACAGTAGAGGAGCCCCAACCATCCAATCCCAGGAGACCTACTGTGTGTGACCCACATCTGTTAGAAATGCAGTTCCAGACCCCGGACTTGCATTGGAGCAAGATTCCGGGAGGAGGCCAGATATGGTGGCACAGATCTCTTGAGGCTAGCCTGGTCTACATAGTGAGTTCCAGGCCAGCCTGGGCTATATAGTGAGACCCTGTCTCAAAAAAACAAACAAAAAGAACAAACAAAAATTAAAAACAAAAGATTCCGAGGGTGTTGGCACATGCTCAAATTGGAAGAGCCTGGGCCTGGAGCATGGCAGGCAGTTCAGTTTATCTCTGAGGGCCCCTGGTGGGTGGCTGGGCAGCACAGACTCCAGCTCCTGAGTGCAGGAGGGGCCTCTGAGGCATCCCCTCTTCACAGCACCTAGGACTCCCGTGCCCTCCAAGCTGCACCAACCTCTGCTCTGCACTCAGGGTGGGGTGCAGTAACCCGGCCCTGGAGAGGATAGGCTCAGAGAGACAGAGTGACTGGCCCCAGCCACACAGCCAATGGCTGAAATTTCCCATCAAGGTTGGCCTCCCAGGTCTGAGGGTTCACCCCTATACCTCAAGTCTGAAGAATTAAAATAAGTGGAATTTGAACCCAAAGCCTCTCAGCAGCCACAGCTGGATCTGACCCAGAACCCCACCTCCCACCCCTCGCACCCCTGGAGAAGAACTCTTGTCTTTTCAGGCCCCAGCAATGGAGAGTGGCTCAGACTCAGGCACATGACATGAGAACCAGTGAGGAGGTAGGTAACATCACAGGGTGCTCAGGCTGTTCCTGGGGCCTAGAGGGTGGGACAGGCTGCTTGGAACATGTAGGTCCCGATGGACTTTGATAACGTGTGGGATAAATTAACCTGCTAGGAGAGGCCCCAGAACTGGGAAACCTGGGGAACTTGAACTCTTAAACCTTCAATACACTAGGTTAACAACAGGCCTTTGCATAGCAGGGAAGAAGATGCACAGATGCACATATTTCCATCAGGAGGTAGACTCAGTCCATCCATCAAGGAGGAAGTTGTCCTGGGCTGCAGAAATATTTGTCTCCAATTCCTACTATGTGTTTAGAAGGTTTGTGACAGAAATCTCTTCAGTTTGCAGGGCCTGCTGGTGCCCACCCATTATTCCAGTTGCTCAGGGTGCTGAGGCAGGAGAACTACAAGCTCAGGCTTACCTGTGCTACAGAGTGAGTTCAAGTCTAGCCTGGGAAACTTAGTGAGGCACATCAAAAAGAAAAATAAAAAGTCAAAGCCGGGTGTGGTGGCGCACACCTTTAATCCCAGCACTCGGGAGGCAGAGGCAAGCAGATCTTTGTGAGTTCGAGGCCAGCCTGGTCTACATAGTGAGTTCTAGGACAGCTGGAGCTACAAGGAGACCCTGTCTCAAAAAGACAAAAAAACAAAACAAAACAAAAGTCAAAAGAGGGTGGGGGCTGCAGCTCATGGGGAGAGTGCCTGCCTGGCATGCATGAGGCCCTTGGCTCATCCCCAGTACTATAAAATAAATAATAAATAATACATAAATAAATAATAAACAGCCACAGTGGGGAATGTCACCATCCCGTGACAAGAAAATAGAGGCTGGAATGACTCAGAAGTAGTCTAGAGAGACAAGACCATCAGGGGGACCTGGACACCCTGCACTGGGTTCTGTCAGCTGACTCTCACACACAGCACTGGACAGGATCCTGCATCCAGTAGGTGCTCAATGTGTGCATGGGACTTGAGGACAAGCCCAGGAGCACAGGCCACTTGAGGAAATCTCGGAGGGCCCGGTAGCTGTGTGGTTTCTCCTCCCTCCTCTCCCCTCCCCGCCCCACCTTGTCTCAAAGGGACCCAGAAGAATTCAAACAACAGGTTTGCTTCAGAAACTGGGACACTCCTTGGAGTCACATGGCACCAAGACAAAGAGATTAAACAGAGAAGGAAACGACTCGGGAGCCAACAGAGAGGGAGACAACTGGGGAGCCTGAGCTGCCTGAGCGCTACCTGGCTAGGTGTGCCTTACCGAATGGTGGGCTGGTCTCCACTCAGCTGCTTGAACCTCCGGTGAAGCTGCTCAATCTGATCTGAGGAGACTGAGAAGGGGAAAGAAAGGAACAGGAAAGGGGGCAGAAGGAGAGGGAGGGGAGAGGAGGGAGGAAGGGGGAAAGAGAGAGAGAGATCACTGACCTTGAACTTGGGGTGGTCGGGAGGCTGTGAGCACTCTTGTGCCCCCTCCTCGCCCAGCCACTGTCACCCCTCATGACATCTCCAACCTTGATGGGATTGAAGGACGAACAAGGGATACAAGAGGACCTCCCTTTCTACCTGCCCTGATCCAGCAGGTTTGGATCTCTGTAGCAGAAGGACCCCTGTGATTGGTTCTGGTGTCATTCCCATCATCCCAGCTGGGCCACGTGTCCTCTGACAGTCCTCTGTCTGGGCTCAGATGCATGGGGGATGCTCACACATCAAGGGCTTTCGTTTTAGCATCTGACAGCTGCCACTCAGAGGGCTGATGGCCACTGGCAGGTGGCCCTGGGAACCAGACCCAAGCCTACACTTCCCTGTGTGACATCACCTGTCTGCCCAATGCTTGATACATGCTCAGGCCTTCAGGGCTGCCTCCTGGGGACCAAGTCCAGTTCAAGCCAAACTTCCCACGCAGTGACCGGTTTGGGGACCTGCCACACCCACCTGCACCACCCCAGCCTCTCATTCTAGATGCAGGAAATTTCTGAGACTTAAAGGTCACCTCCTTATCCACAGCATCCTCCCTCCCCTCCTCTGCCTCAGGCTCAAGCTATGGTCTCTTCAAGAATTCACAGCGCAGAATTCTCAGACGTCCCCAGTAGCTGCAACTCACCAGGGAAGACTCGAGAAGGGCTGCCAACCTGGACTGGGCAGGGCTCCAGGCATTAGCTCATCACTGTGGCAGGCAGGGCTCTGTCCGTAGGTTGCACATATAGATATGGACACTTAGGAAGGCTAGGAACAGTGGGGACAATGTACCTTTCTAGAGAAAACATAGCCATCTGTGTCACAGGCCAGTCAACAAGCAAGCTGGCCCAAGTTCCATTCCCAATGTGCACCTAACAGAAATGCATACCTGTGCTCACCCCAGGATGCACACAGGATGCTCATAGCTGAGCTGTGTGAATCACCCCAAACTGGAAACCACCCATATGCCCAGCGATGGCAGAATCAAGTGCCAAAGGGTGAGACAGTCAGATGGTGGAATAGTATACAGAAACAAAAATGGACAGCATATATAATAAACCAAGAACCAGGCATGAAAAGCCAAGTGTTTCATGATGCTATTTGCACATAGTCCACACAGGAAAAACTGGACTACAGTGTTAGAAGTTAGGCTGCCCTCAGGGGGAGAGTGATTTGAATGGAGTGTGAGGAGGGTCTAGAGAACACTCACAATGTTCTCTATCTTGACCTGGCACAAGTGACACAGGGGTCTTCCTAGAAAGGAAGAGGGGTTGTACATTTATAGGTGAAGCACTGTGTGTGTGTATGTGTGATGTGTGTGGGGGGGTGAGACAATCTCATGTAACACAGGATAGACTTGATATGTAGCCACAGATAACCTTGAACTTCGGATTCTCCTGCCTCCACTTCCCAAGTGCTGAGATTACAGGTGTGGGCCACCACGCCTGGTTCATGCATTGATGGGATTCAAGCCCAGGGTTTGGGGTATGCCAAGTGAGCACTCTACCAGCTGAGCCACACTTGCAGCCCTCAAAAAGAATCTTCTAAAATATTGTAGGGAACAGAAAAGGTTCACAGCACGTCATCAAGGGACAAGCCATAAGATGACACCTCGTGCGGAAGTTGTGTTGGTACATACATGTGGACATAGGAGGAAATGGGACAGAGCTACGACACAATGGCCAACTGTTCCAGGGAGCCAGGTTCTAAGATCACTCTCACCTCTCTTGGGGGCCCCTTATTTTTGCTTCCCTGTCCTTTAACTTTTCTGTAGTTACTTGTGTGATTTCTTATTACTAGACTTTTTAAAAATTACATTTTTATTTATTCTGTGTGGGGGATCACATGTGTGGAGGTCAGACAGTCCTCTCCTTCCATCATGTGGGTCTTGGGATCAAACTCTGGTCATCAGGCTTGGTGGCATGGAAAGGTAATCTAGATACGAAGTCTGAAACTTGCTTCCTTGAGGGAAACACATCAATACGTGTGCATGCATACAAATGGTTCAAAAGGCCACGGAACTATATTCCCTCCAACAGCAGCCATGAACCCTTGTTCCAGGACTGGGATTCGACACTCGCCTCCTTTTAGAGAGCTCATATTTTCCAGATTCTCTTCGTACAGTGCATGTATCTCAGTTGTAAGAACATTTTCCGGCACACGGCACAGTCCATATGGGAAAGCAGACACCTCAGAACTCTAATGAGTCAGCTTCAGCTCAGTGCCACGGCCCTGACACATTTTTAAAAAGAACAAACTTCGCTTCCCTCCTTGCCCCCCTCCCCTTCCCCTGCCTCCTTCTTTCCCTTTCTGCCTTCCTTTTTGAGACAGGCTCTTATGTAGCCCAGGCTAGCCTCCAACACACTTGTATAGTCAAGAATGACCTTAAACTTCTGATCATCCTGTCTTCACCTCCCAGGTGCTGGGATCTCAGGCATATGCCACTACGCCCAGTTTATATGGTGCTAGAGATAGAACCCAGGGCCTCACACATGCGAGGCAAGCATTCTACCACTGAGCTACATGCCCAGCTCACCAGCCTATACTTTTGATAAGTGGTAAACTGTGCTGCCTGGAGTTTAGAAGAGTTCACACACATCCAGGTGAGATTAATTTTTTTTTCTTAAGATAGGGTCTCCCTGGAGCCGGGCTGGCCTAGAACTCACTATGTAGACCAGGCTGACTTCAAACACACAGAGATCTGCCTGCCTCTGCCTCCCAAGTGCTGGGATCAAAGGTGCATGCCACCACACCCGATTGAAATTAATTTTAGTAATACATTTTATTTACCCTGTAAGATGTAAATAATTAACAATGTCAACATGTAACCCACAAAAAATTACATTAAGTTCTTTAACCATACAGGGTGGGCATTTCATGCCTAACTGGGAAGAAATGAAAAGAGCTTCCAGTCCCAGGGGTGGGGTGGGAGAGGGTGTCTGATGGGGTCCCTGGAGCCTGAGAGATGGGGATGTGGGAGGGCAGGGCTGGCATAGGACAGGCCTATAGTTGAGACAGTGGGACAGGGTTCCTTGGGATAGGTGGAGGCAGAAGAAGGTGGCAGGTTGGTCATACTGGCCTAATTCATCTGACCAAGCTTCTGGACCTCACCTTCAGTGTACAGAGGACACTGAACCAGGGACCGAGAGCCACCACCCTGGCAATAGATGGAGAGTGGACAGGGGGGACCAGGAGCCACTCAGGAACTGGCAAGAGCCACAGTCCAAGTGAGGAGGAGAGGGGCTTGAGACCCAGGAGAGGCAGACAGGATAGTGGGGTCTGTACCTGCTCTCTCTGGGGGCTCCCCAGGCTGTCCCACCTCCTGCTGTCCCCAGAAGCCACACCAGCCTGGACACAGGGCCTTGACACGCAGAGGCACCACTAGGTAGGGCTTGGGGATTCCAAGGTCCCCAGAGCTCTGTGACTTGCCATGTCAGCAGACTGGCCAGGACTCAGGAACACATCCCCACTGCACAGGGGACAGCAGGCCAGGCATCTCTACACAGCATGGACGCCAAGAGACCTGGGCTTTAGTCCCAGCCTCAGTGGGAACTCTACTGCTGCTGCTCCTCCCAGACTCCAGAGAACAATAACACCTCTCTGGGGGGGGAGGCCATCCCAGGGTGACAGGCCATCCTAGTCTCTAACAACACTCACAGCTCCTAAGGTGGATGCTGTGGATGGCTGACTGGATGAAGAAGGGGACAGACCCACAGAAAAGACCAGCATGAACCTTGCTGCACATGAAGAGCTGTGACAATGTTGCACATGCTGTGCCAAGGCCACCCCGTTCACACTCATCATAAGACACACCTGACCAGCTACTCCATAGAAACAGACAATGGATGTGTGCTGGCCAGGGGCTAGAATGAGGGGGCTAAAGACGGATCAGTGGGGAGCAAAGGGCTTTGTGTGAGGCAATGGAATGTTCTGGAAATAGATTGGCAGTTTAAGACACTGGATGCACTGAACACCACTGAACCACTCACTTATAATGGTTAAAGTGGCCAAATGTTTCGTATATGTGTTCATGTATGTGCATGTAGGAGGTGTGCACACATCTGTGTGCATGTGGTGGCCTAAGGTCAACATCAGGTGTCTTTCCTTAGTTGCTCGCTGCCTTTTTTTTTTTTATGTGTGTGAGTGTTTTCCTGCATGTATGTAAGTGCACCTGTGTATGCAATGCCCACGGGGGCCAGAAGAGGGTGTTAGATCCCCTGGAACTAGAGTTACAGACTGTAGTTAGCTGCCATGTGGGTGCTGGGATTTGAACCCAGGTCCTCTGAAAGAGCAGCCAGCACTCTTAGCCCCTGAGCCATCTCTCCACCTCTTTGTCGTTTTTTTGAGGGAAGGTCTCTCACTGAAGCTGGAGCTCCAGGATCTGCCTGTCTCTGCCTCCCAGCACAGTGCACCGCTTTTTACATGATTGCTGGGTACTGAACTTGGGTCCTCATGCTTACACAGCAAGCACTTTACCCAACTGAGACATCTCACTGGCCCTAAAATGGTAAATTTTATATTGCATGAACTTTGGCCTTAATTTTATTTTTATTTATTTTTTGTTTTGGTCTTTTTGAAGCAGGGTCTCCCTGTAGCCCCAGCTGTTCTGGAACTCACGATGTAGACCAGGCTGGCCTGGCTCACACAGAGATCCGCCTGCCTCTGTAGGCATTAAAGGTATGTGTCACTATACCCAGCTTGACCTTAATTTTTTTTTCCTCTTTTGAAATTGGCTGTAAATTTTTAGGTGTATGTTGGGAAACCCTGCTGTTAGGGTTGTAGTTCTCCATGTCCGGATAGCCCTAAGGGGCTCGGCGCCAAATGGAAGGACTCCCCTTTTTAGCAGGGGGCCTCCTGCTCTCTTCCTGGCTTACCT